GGTAAGTTATTGAATGCAATGCTTATTATTATATTATTTAACGTTTAGTTAATGCTTATTACTGCATCAACAAATGTTAACAGTGTCGTTAAAAATTATTAAATAATGTATGAGGTAATACTTTAACATGAAAAACATTAGTACATAATTAATAAATGTATTAGTTACCTATTAGTTAATGCTTATTACTGCATTAAGTATGGTTAATTAATGTACCCTTATTGTAAAGTGTTACCACAATTTTTTGGTGATCTGAAAATAAATAAGCCAGTAATCAGTACGGTCTGTCTGAAAACAGGTGTCAAGTGACACATAGCATGTGACACACACAAAAGCCAAACATACTGTTGTTTTGTTGCTTTCCAAATAAAATGTGCCTTAATGTATCATCAGCTTTAAATGTAATTTATTAAGCTCTACTCAAGGGTAAGCATTTCATTATCTTAGGGTTCTGCAGGCTATTTATAACATTTGATTCTTATGCATAAGTATTAATAATGATTTAACAGAATACACAGGTATGTTTTAAAAATGTTTGTTGATGCAAGGACAAGTTTAATTTTTAGGGTCTAATATACTGATGTTCTAAAATTTTACAGCTACTCCCTCAACCTTTTTGGTGGAATCCAGCTTCAGAATAGAGCCATATGTCGGGGTGATGTTAGCTTTGATATCCTCCAATCTGTTGAGGATATCTTGGCTGTACATTGTGAGGAGCTACTTGTAGGTGGGCACTGCCATAGGTTCTGGGGGCTCCTGGAAGCATAGTGGGAACAGGCCAGCATTTGATTAAAAAGCTATGCACTCCGATGTGTACCTAGCCACCCCGCTGCAACCATTCCTCACTGTAGTTCTGCTTTAGCTGGGCAATAATCTGGGCAGGACTGTTACCCAGGCTCCTCTCATGCAGCAAGTGGATGACATGTATGTCACAGGCAAATCTTGGAAAAAGAAAAGAGAAAAATATTATATGATATATTTATGCTAGACTTGACTTGAATTGAAAGGAAAATTGAAACATTCATGAAACCATGTGTGCAGCAATTACCAAACTAACATTAAACATTACCTGTGTGTAAGGATAACCCTGAACTGAGAACGGTGTTCAAAGTTGAGCTGTTGTAGAACTGCCTGGCTCTGCCTGCCTCATTCTGGACAGATAAGTGGCCCTACACTTGTTGCAGATCAGGGGTTCATTTACTACATTGCAGTAATGGTAAATGTCAAGGACCTGCCGTACCCTCCTGTGCAAACCTCCCCCCGCCAGATGATGGTTAGAACATGCTGGATTTGTACAGTGCACTCGCACCTTCCACAGTCTGTATGGCATCCACAGCAGCATGGGAGAAGAACCTGTCAGGGTTGGGAGCCTGGTGGTACAAAAGAGCTGGTTGTGGTGGGTGATACCAAAGCTGCAGGTTGTCACGCAGCTCCATTTTCCTCGTGCTCCAACCCTAAATAGTGTTGCAGATACCCACTTGTGGTCCTGCTGTGGCATTGTCTTGGGCCACAGGAGTGGTAGCTCTGCATGACTTGCTGGCTGGAATGGGTCCTGCAGAAAAATAAAGACCTGCATAAGGTTAAGTAGAGGCTGTAAAAAGAGATTATATGATGTTTCTTGAATCACATATTACCTGATCCACTTCAACAGCCAGCTTTCTCACAGGTCCACACAGGTTTATCTGCCCTTTTGACTGGTGTGGGTGGGGGAGCAGGGAAGAATGAGGAAGATGGCCAAATGGACCGCTGAAGATGAGGGGACTGAATGGAGCAGGCTTTTGGGAAATACAAGTGGCTGAAGGTGTATGGTGAAATTCTTGACCTTCTTCAGATACTTTTGGTGTCTGTGAAGTGTCATAGTTACTCTTGCAAAACATATTTTATTAAAAACACATCATATTGTATTCTGTATTTACTTGCAAAGCTTTTCCTTTTCCTGCCGTCAGTTTGTCTGTTTACCTGTTCGTCCTGGTCTCCTTCACCATCTCTGCCCTGCTTTGCTGTTTTATGTACATGGACTGTGATATGTGTTTTGTTTTAAACCACCTTTTTTCCACTAGCACCTGGGTCTGCAAATTGAGTCCTACCTCTGTTCCCCCTCACCCTCCTGGTGAGGGGGGCTAAACCCTAACAGCAACTTTATATACACAAAGAGTTTAATTTGTTTTTTTTTTTGGTAAGTCTTTCCACACTTTGTACAGCCAAATGCACAAAAGCACATACAGTATGTGGGTGCACAATGCATGACTTTGGGATTTATAGTATACTGTATATTCAAATAGGGCAATGCATTGTGAGCATTAGGAAATGCCTATATAAAAACGTTGCTGGCTCTTGTCAAAGGGGAAACCAGCGCTTCCTTTTCTGAGGTTCCTACTGTTGAGGGATAAACATAACATATCTATACTTTATTTTATCAGAATAGAAAACACATTATTCTAAAAGTCCTCTTGACCATTTACTGTAAGTGAAGTTACCTTGGCATTGTGAAAGCCACAAGTGCAGCTGTGACTTTCCTTTGTTAGGGTCATTTGTCCTCTTCTATGCAGAGCACATTTTTCTATTTGCAGGCATAATAAAAAGTTGTTTTACATAACTGGGAAACATTAACTGAACAATGTTATAAAAGCAATGTGACAGATTCAATACCAGCCATAAACTAGTCAAATTGACATTATTATAAGCAGTTAGTTAGCTGTTCTGTATCATGCAGGTGTCTTTTAGTAGGTTTCAAGAGTTATAAGCTCTAACATTACCTTAATAGTAGAGCAGAGTAGAGCAGAGTAGGTACTTTATTGATCCCACAGTGGGGAAATTTCTGTGTTACAGCAGCAATAGAGAACAACCAACACAACACCATAAGAACAGAACTTCATAGAAACACAGAGAAGAACATGAGGACACAGCTGCTGTAACTTGCTGCCACTCTTCGCGGCGCAACAAAGAGCACTTAGTCTTAAAATAGTTACATAAAGGCAACAAAGCATCAAAAGTTAGTTTAGTTGTGTTCAACTTCAGTTTTGCTCAGATACCCCCACCCCAGACAAACGTCATCCCCCACACTTTTAAAAAGCTTGATACACCCCTGTCGTAATGTGATCATGTGCATGGTAGTACATTGTTCTTTATTGTACAATGATAAAATTGTAATCCTGCTATTAATCCTCATTTTTTATAAATGCATGTAACTGTGCAAAATGGCTTCACAAAACCTTTCTGTGGATGCGCAGGATCCACTCTTATTTCTATGTTAATGCTCACCAAAGGGGGTTTTCCATTATGAGAACCTACCGAAATGTAGTAATGCTCATCATGATTGTTTGTTTCCACAGCTGTGCACCCAGATTGGAACTGCATTCTAAGAGCTAAATTCTGGTACCTCTCATGAGGTATTACTAAAATCAAGCTCCAAAAACACAAGAGGGGAGAGGGTATCGCCCTTGATTGGTTTAATGTCTGCTCTCCACACCTCCATCATTAGCATTACAAGCACAGTGTGTAAAGAGGCACTTATACTGGTTTAGAAATAAAAGGTTTAATATCTTAGTGCATAAAAAGCCAATTACAGCAATTTATTTAAAAACCCACTAAACACTCATAAACCTGCTGACATGGGCACAGTTACAACACTTTGCTGCAGACCATTAGAGTATGGATTGGCCGATGGAGATACAGGGGCACTGAAGCTTGCTGTTTGGTATTTGTTAAGTTTGTAAAGGCTATAGACCACTACTTACTGTAGCTCTTACTGAAGAGATGTTATGCAGAACAATACAGAAAAAGTACACAGCACTCATAGACCTCCGCCAAGGGGAAATGCAGTTTCCCCATGATGCCACAAAAGCAGTTGCAATATGATTGCTCAAGCATGAAAATCTGTTGCTGGAATTTGCAATGGCACTGATATCATTATTAGTTTTAAAGTTATTCATGAAAAATGATAGGCATCACAGACATTCAATTGTTGGTTTAGGTAGTGTTGGGGCATAACTAGTTTGGTGTAAAAGAGCTTACATTAAAAAGCCATCTTGAAGGAGGGCAAAAATGCCAGCAGTTTGCTGTGATCGCTATGTAAATGCGGTGAAAATCAGCCAGTCAGTCAAACCACTACTTTGGTCCAGATTAAATATCTCAACAGCTGCTGGATGGATTGCCATGAAATTCTGTACAGACATTTATGGTCCAGGGAATGAATGCTGCTGACTTTGATGTGTGGTAAATTGGATCCGAGCAGCCAAAAATAGTAGGAGACATTAAAAATGTGCCACCAAGACACATAGGCCAAAAGAAATCCATGAAACAGCCAAATGATTAACTTCACATAACTGAAGAAAACTCAACTCAAAATAACACAACTTAAATTACAGGCACATGCACACAGCTACACTCCCTTAGCCTGCTTCCCCCTCAGCTGCTCCACAGCAACTGTTTAAATAGCACCATGATCTGGATCAACCTTCCTCAGACTACATCATTTCCCAGGTCCTACAGGTAGGTACACACATCGATTTCTCTGGAGTTATTTTAAACACTTAACATTCAACAGAGTCACCGACTTTTCAGGTGTACATACAATTCCTACCTCCTAACTTGGTTCACCCCCATGACATCACTGATCACATCAGAGAGTGTGTAAGATAAGGAAGTTAATGGATGCCTCCTCCTTTTGTCTTCTGTCCACCTGGTGAGTATAACCAAACATTTAACAAACAGGAAAAGACATTGAGAAATGCACCTGACCTAATTTAGGGACAAATGGAGTGTTCTCACCCACTTTGTCACATGATGACTTTCAGCAGTTGTCTCCCATCCAGAAGGTTGACAGTTTGAATCTCGGTGCCCGCACTCGAAGTGTCCTTGGGCAAGACACTGTAAGAGCCATTTATGCCACTCACTCATGGCAAAAAAGACAGTGGTAAGTGGTAGCTAGGTCAGACAAGACTGTGAGACTGTGTAAAAAATAGCCTACTTATGCTAGCATCATACGGCTCCCTATCCCACTTTGTTAACAATGTAATACTACACTGCCAAGAAAAAGTATGTGAACCTTTTGGGATTTCATGGTTTTCTGCATCAGTTTGTCATAAAATGTGATCTGATCTTCATCCAAGTCAAGAGTACTGACAAATACAATGTGCCTACAAAAATGGCACAAAAAAAATTCTGATCTTTCATGTATTTTTTGAAGACACACATGGTAGTGGAAAAAGTAAGTGAACCCCTGGAATTAATAACTGGTTGATCTCCCATGGCAGCAATCACTTCAACCAAATGTGGTAACAAAACATCTAGTGATAGTGATGGTATCACTATGACAACAGTTAAATGGGTAATTGAGGGGATATGCAAACCATTAACCCATATTTTTAACATGTCGTTTCGACTTGGGCAGTTCCCCATGAATATGAAAATAGCAAAGGTTATTCCACTGTATAAATCTGGTGATAAGCACAACTTCACAAATTATAGACCGGTTTCTCTGCTGTCACAATTTTCAAAAATTCTGGAAAAACTCTTTAATAACAGATTAGACACATTTATTGACAAACATAAAATCCTCTCTGATTGCCAATACGGTTTTAGGTCAAACCGATTGACATCTTTGGCCATTGCCGACCTGATGGAGGACATTACAAGTGCTATGGATGAGAAGAAATACACGATGGGGATATTTATTGACCTAAAAAAAGCATTTGACACAATCAATCATGAATTATTAATGGACAAGTTAGAAAAATATGGGATCAGAGGAATGGTTCTGAAATGGATTAGAAGTTATTTGACACAGAGGCGTCAATTTGTGAAGTTGGGTGAATACCAATCGAGTGAGCTGGACATTGTATGTGGAGTGCCTCAGGGTTCTGTTTTGGGACCTAAATTATTTATATTATACATTAACGATATATGCAAGGTTTCTGATTTAGTGAAAGTGGTTTTATTTGCTGATGACACTACCATATGGGCATCAGGTGAAAACCTACAGCAACTCTCTGGACAGGTTTCACAGGAACTTGAGAAGATAAAGAAATGGTGTGACAGCAATATAGTATCTCTGAATTTGGATAAAACAAAATTTATGGTATTTGGGAATCGTAGACTAGATAATGAACTTCAATTGAAAATTGGGGGAGCTAATATAGAACGAGTACATGAAATTAAATTTCTAGGTGTCATAGTGGATGATAAATTCACCTGGAAATCTCATATCAGATATATTCAGCACAAAATAGCAAAAAATATATCGATATTGGCAAGGGTTAGATATATTTTGGACGGGAAAGCACTA